CCTGGCAGCTGGGCCGGGTTAAGCTGGCTGCGGGATTGAGGAAATCAGGGATATTCCGACAATTGAATCACCTTTTAAACTTGGATTTCAAAGTTTTTGAATCATTTTGACGGAAAATGAAAACATTGAAATTATGCAATGAGCCCCGAAAGGGACCATGGGCAAAAACACAAACAACTCTATAGGTCCTTAGGCAACTTGCTAAATTTACAGCCTTTGTAGGAGCCATGGCCCAGAAGAAAAAAACTCTATGAGGCTGTAGGGAGCTCGTGGACGTCCGTGAACTCCCTAAGAAAAAAACGCCGAAACTAGATCCCGGGGTAATCCCAACAGCAAACCACGCGACTTGGGCCATTTTCCGTTTGATCTACAATCCACAAATCCCCTTTGTGGAATGCTGGCTGTCGATGCGGGCGAACTTGTCCAGGAAATCGGATGCAGCGACGAGCCGCGAGCCAAGTTTGATCCCAACGGCTTCCTGCAACGTTGTCCACAGCAATGAAACATTTTGAAGTTGACCCTGATTCACGCCCCAAATGAAACAATAAACAAACAAAAAATAATGAACTCGGCAATCAGTCCTTCTCATCGTCGGCCACAAAAGCTATGGCTGATAGCCCGCAATCTTGGCCGTCGCCAACACGAACTCTTCCATGAACACCCGCCTCCAATTGCTGCTTCCTTGATTCGTGCATGGTTGCAATACACGATGCAGTTGCATCCCCTGAAACTTTCTTGAACACCAATACTTCCTTGATGTCACTAGCGCTGTCTTGAAGGCAAAGCATGTTACCCCACAGGCATTGCCCTTCCTGTTCACAACTGCATCGATGTATTTCATGTCTGCCAACATGCCTCCCCGAAGGCAGGCTGCCCATGCCAGCGGGTGAAGTTGGATTGACAATTGTTGGTGAAGCTGAAATCCTTGAGCGCAAAAAAATCGGCATCTACGAGACTCTTTGTGATTGTCGGGGCATAACCTCCGGCACCATTGATTGCAGCTTGCGCATGATGTAATGGAATGTCTGTTGCAAAATAAACATGGTGCTTGTCAGGGTCGATCGGGGTCATAATGTGCGTCAGCGCTTCCCGGCGCTTGGTTTCATCCTTGGCACGGTCATTCTTCAGCCCAAGCAGATGATTCCGATGTTGCTTCGCACCCGCTTTGTCAACTGGGAAGGTGGCCATCACAAATTGCATCACACAAGGCCTCTTGCCGCTTCTTGGCCAGAAAATCGAGTTCAGCAGCAAGAGACGATCGCCATGTTGCTAGAACCACTCTGGCTTGCCAAGTTGGAAATCGCTTCTCGACTTTTTGCCAAACAGGCACACCTGTCTTCAACTTCTTCAACTTCGGCTGACCCGAGTCTGATCGTTCCTGTTTGCGCTTGCGTGGCCGCCCGTACACCGTCTTCCAAGTATCTCCGGCCATTGCAATTGTAGTTTCATCAGGCAAGCCCTGTTTGTTCATGAAAGTGGTTCCGCTTTTTGGGCGGCCACAACCAGCCTGCACTGTGTGAGGTCGCTCAATGGAAGAAGTTGTGCAGCCTGTGAAGGCACCAAGTCTGGCAACTGCAGTTCGCAATTCATCATGTTGCGGGGCGCAACCACCGGTCAATGCTTCTTTCCAGAAATCGAAACTTTGAAGGGGTGCCTTTGGTTTCTCCTTTGCCTTTGATTTCTCAAAGGCGGCAAGGTTATAGCTTGCTTCCCGTCTGTTCCGCAAGGCAAACACGGAGAAGGCTTGCAATGGCCCAAAGGAAGGAAACTCGGCTTGCACTGTTTGGATGCCAGAACCAGAAATGCGTCCAAATGACTGAAGCAAGTGTTGTTGATGGCTTGTGTAATGGGTTGCCCGCCGATGATCACAACCCCGCGTTTGCACTGCAACGCCCGTGGCTTCTTCCAGAGCTGCAGCGTGCGAGTTGTAAAACATGGCTCCGTGGCCAAGATGCTTTTCTTGCAAAAAAGCTGCGTCTAATTTCCGAACAAAATTGTTCAACTGCTGAGGCAAGCATCGAAGGAGTCCTTGTCAAAGAGCCGGGGCAAACATAAAGAAATGTCGAATGCGTCCACTAACATTGCAGTGAGCAGCGCGTTCTCTGCACCAGTTGCCCCGCTGAAAAAGGATAAGAAATCCGACGCATCAGATGCCTCTGCGCTGCCATGTCGCAAGGCTTGAACCTGCGGCTCTTTGTTCACGATGATGTCGAAAAGCTGCTTGAACTCAGGAGAATTCTTTCTTTGTTTGAGAAAAGCATCTGGGCCGGTGACCAGCATCGTCATCAGGGATTGTAGCCGTGGGTCTGCATCATGAACACGGACCAAAGTCCTTCCCTGCTCATTTATCGAATCACTAAGTACTACTCAAAACACAGTTTGCCAACATGTGACATGCGTCAAATTCAAATGTCCTTCTCGCAGCATGTGTGTTGTCCCGAATCCAAGATACAGCATTTGGAAACAGCGGGTCGGCCGTGTCCGCGATGTGGTTGATGAGGTCATGCCCCACTGACAAGCGAAAGGTACAACAACGGGCTCGTCTATGGGTTCGATGCCCGTGTGGTTTCTGACGCATCGGGTTCTGAGAGGGGCCACCTGGGGTCGCATCTCAGCAGTATGCAAGGCATCCAGCGAAGTGACCTGCAGTTCGCAAACAGTTTGAAGCTGCTGAGTGACGCCATCAAGGAGGCCGAAGCGCATCCAAAAAGGTCGGCTACATCCATCAACGTGGATATGCCGTCAGTTTGCTACTCCGGCAAACACCAGAGTGTTGCAGTCGCAACATTTTGGGAGGACGTTTTGCGTTCGATGGGTTTTGCGCGTTGCACAACCCATATCAATCAGCAGTGGTACCTGTCAAAAAGGTTCTGCGGGATCTGCGTGGAACGCGCGGCGCATCCTACCGTAGCTGCCGTGACGAGAATACAGATGCGCCGATTGTTGCAGCAAGGGCAAGAAAGGTTCACACGAATTCATGTTCGTTGACAGCACGCGGACCAAAGGCTCGCACAGAACAAGCGGCTTGTGCCCTCGTCTTGCATGCAGACTCAATGCAGACTTGCATCGCGGTGTCAAAAAATCCTGTGTCGCGCTGCTCATCGTGCCACATGTCAGTGTGTCGTTCAGGGATTGGGGCGAGAGGCTTGATCTGTCATGTTTTTTTTTGCCTTGTGCGATTGAAAGCGTGGATGATAGGTTGCAAGGTGGGTGTTGTTGTTGGTCGTGGCTTTGTGTTGCATGACTGGGTGCTTGTCAAGCCAAGCCGGCGCGCCTTGTCCATTGAGGCATGGACTGTTGCCAGCGACCTCTTGGCTCGAAGCAGTGCATCACTAGTACATGGCAACGGCTGTTCTCTTTCCGTTGTTGGCGCAAGGCCTGCAAAGCTGCAGGTGTTTCATCGGCCTATGGCCGGGTCGAGTTGTCAAAAGGCCAGAGAGGTTCCGAACTCACGAACAAAGCGAAGTTCATCGGGAGGCTGCGCTGACTTTGACAAATTGCAAGCAATGCCATGCTGAGTTACATCAATTGCTGGACACTAGGGGAGCGCCCAGCGCATCCGAATTCCAGGCAGCTTTGACTCACAGGCGACAAGGCAGCAGCATTCGGCAAGCTGAACGTCGCAAGCAGCTTTCCTGTATGCAATTTTGCCTTGGGGAGGCCATTCGAGAACAGCTTCGATGTTTTTTTGCGCCAAGCGGAAGTCATTGTGACTCACGCTGATAGCAAAGGTAAACGGTTCACTATGCGTTTTACAGCTGTGGGCAAGGATTTGCAGCTCCGCAAGGCATTTGTGGAAACCGCCCGGCGAACTGAACCCAGTGAACGGATACGCCAAGCTGACCGAAGACATTTTGCGGAAGTTTAGTTCCCCTTTGACGGATGCACCTTTCGTGACGGACGAAAGCCAAAAGCAGCTGTTTGACAAGGAATTGCTCAAACTTCTTCAGCAAAAACCACCGCCTTCAACACAAACAGCGCTGCTTCTGTTGATGAATTCCATGTTGGCCGCCCCAAAACTCTTCATGCCAAAGCGCAGCCCGAATGTGAAAACTCGACATGTGACACGGGGCACAGCCTCCGGTGTTGGAATCTGGCTGACAGTGTTCACACTGGTCTTGGCACGTTTGCTGGCTGTACCATCTCCCCTGACGACTGCACAATCTGAGAAGGCAGATCCTAATTGGCGCTGGAATTGGCGACAAGGCTTCGGCGGAAATGGCCTTGTTAGCACTGTCAGCCTGGCCCCATGACTTGAGCCTATTCTTGAGCCCCGGCGGGCAGTTCTCAATTTTGGCAAGACAGTGTGTCGTGAACATTCTGGCTGTCCACTGAGTTGGGCAAAGACCATGACCTGTCTTTCAATGCCTTGGAAACGCGACATAACGCAGGCGTGCTGCAGGGCCATTGCCACCAGCCGTGCCATCACATCAATGTCTTGATGGCCAGCCCCCCAAAGCTGCTCGTTGTGCCTCCAATTGTACAACCACGTGCCGCCCAGTCACCCCAGCGTCTCCGCCCTTGATGCGAACAAGCGCGTGTGGCCGGACACGCTCTTGAACGGAGGCCAGGTGCCCAGAATGTCTCGGCTGCTGTCCACGTCCAAAATGTTGTCCACGGCAAGGTTGACCGCAAATGCCAATCTAGGCCCGCCGTAATTCGCAAGCCTTGAGGGCCAGTACTTGAGCGGCGTGGTCATCACGAACACGCTCAGGTTCTTCGTCTCCACATGGGCTGCAATGCTTTGCCAGTTGCCCTGCAGGGCACAACCACCGGCAACGTTTTGCAAAAAAGTGATGACGAAGTTCACCGGAAGCCGGCGCTGCCAGCACGCAAATTGTACAAACATGCTTCTTTTTGGAAAGATCTTTTGAAGCACGTCGTTGCATACGTGATGCAAACTCCCGGCAGCATGCTCTCTTGCCCTCAACGGCTTGTTTTGCTGTATGTTGAGCTGGTTGATGAGGCCATCGACATGTTCAACGGCAAAGCGCAGCCGATGCTCCAAAAACAAATCAACACACCCTTGAAGCTTGGCGGAATGAGCCTTCAGCTGCCTCACTCCCTGGTGATTGACCCGATTCCCACTCTGCTGCTGCCCGTTCTTGCTTTGCAGGTGGCGGAGGTGGTGATGATGAGCCATTGTCATCGCCTCCCCAGTCCAGTTCCTCCTCCTGCTTCACTTGAGTGGGTGTCAAAGTCAGTGGAGGTGTCTTCGGCAGAGGTATTGGCGGCGGCCTGTTGTCCTGCTCAGACTGCCGGGGGCTGCCGGCCGTGGACGGAGGCTCAGGCTCCTCCGCTTTTGCAACTGGTTCCACCAAGCCGTGCGGAGCCTTGCCTTGCCCCTTGAGTGTTCTCAGCCACTCAAACTCCTCTTCTATCAAGGCTTTCTGGCTGTTCTCAATCTCCGCTTTCAATGCGTCCGTGGCCGCCAACTTTGCCTGGCAGGGCGGCAGGTTGCAAAATCACGCAAAACAAATTCATGTTTGGCGAACGTGAACAAGTAGAACACACTGACAACATAGCGTGGCTGAGAATAAGAAGACCATGTCCTCCAGGAAGCTTCTCGACGGGTCGGGCTTGTCGTCGTGTTGTTTGCCACGAACATTCGGATCTGCAGGCAACTGGTGCATAACATGCCGGTAGTTAAACATCGTGTGCAGTCGGAACTGATCGTAGCAAGCTTTGCAGTTCCGGCCAGTGATTGTAGGGGATGACACATTGTTTTTCCCCGTGCGAGCGCAAGCCATGAAGTACAGGGTCGGCTTGCTGGCTTGCGTCGATTCATCAAACTGCGCAATGAAGTCCGGGTTGGGCTTCGCATCCTCGGGCAAGCCGGCATCCTCCTGGTAGTCCCTTGTAAACAAAGGCCAAGTGACTTCGAGACACCAATCCAGCCCAAAATCGTCATGTTGCCTCTGCGTAATCAGACTCAGCAACCGATCATTTTTTGGAATGATCGCCAGCGATTTATGGACGAAGAGACTGCAAGGTTGTTACTGACTGGCTAGTTTTGGTTTGTTGGGTTAATGGATTGAACCATTGCATCGTAACTTGCATGTTGCCTCGCACCATGATTGGCATGCATTATCAAATGGCTATGGACCTTGAGCTGCAAAAATTGCAAGCTGGCAGGTTTCATGACATGCTGTCACTTGGTCTCTGTAAGATGTTTATAACATGGCCACGCGCAGTCGGGGCCAGTGAGCAAAGTGACCGCTAAGCAGTGTTGCTCAAATCATGACTGATCAACAAAGCGCTCAATGGTAGCTGCAAGTCTGAAGAGGTGGGTGAAACTGAGGCTTACTATGAGGAACTGTTTTCTAGCAATGGCGTGTTTGGAAATTTTTATGCGGATCCGCGCTCTTTTTTTCTGGCTTTGCGGGTTGGTCGGAGGCTGTGCCCCGATTTCTATGTTACTCTGTGCAAGAAACCCAGCAGTGCCTCAGAGTCTTATTGTTGAAATTCGGCTCGACGATGGTCTGGTCATTGGTCGTCATTGCCCCACTGCCAGTGACGGCGTCATCAGAGATCACCAGTCGCTGACACCGTACCAGTCCCAGCCGCTTTCGGACCAGCTTGACCACAAGACGACATGTCCTTGTTCTGGCACTGCCTTGCTCTTGCCCTTGAGCTTGCCCTTTCCCTTGTCGTTGTCACGCCCGCTCCAGTCCTGTGATGAATTTGGGCAATAAAATCTGCAAGAAAGTCAGAAATTGTGTCAGTTGCCAACATGTTTGCAAACATGTTTGCCACAGAGTGGAAAGCTTGCCAAGTTTACTAGGTTGACAGCTAAACACACATGCAAGCTGCAAGTGAAGCTCCTCAATGCCGTTGTGAGCCAACCAGGAGTTTGACCACTTGTGCCAGCAGAACCTTAGTTACGTGGCGCCATGACTTGCAAACCAAGTTTAACACAATGGCAAACATCAACAATTCTGCAGCTTAGACACTTGAAGTCCTCATCTGGCTTGCAACACACCAAGGGCGTAATTCGGCGTGGCCCTCTTCTCGGTGTGGTTGGCGAAATCCTTGCAGCGAATGTTGATCTCAATTGCAAGGCCCTTTTTGCGTCATCCATGTATTTGCCCATGACGGTTACTTCACCGATCATGGGCACGTCCCTGACGGTGATTTCGATCTCCGGGTGCTGCTTGGGTGGAATTGCGGAATCGGATGGATGGGCCGTCACACTCGGGGCACAACCGCCGGCAAACAAAGAACTACTGAGTGGCATAGCCTGAGCCTGCGGCGATTGCAAATCACAATGCTGCAGCAACCGCATGGTCTGAGCAGGTTCTATGTTCAGCAAAATGGCCTGTCCCGCCGATTATGGTTCCCTCACAACACACAATCCTTGAGAATTAGAACTTCCCCGTGAGTTTAAACATAAATCCTCAGTTTGCCAAAGGGACCAGAGTTCAGGCTCTTTCCGGCAGTGGTTTCCCCTTTTGCAAAACACACCAGGTTCACACCACCTTTAAGGTCCAAGGCATCGCACCATGTCCCTGACATGTCTTGCGAGTCGCACGAGATGGAATGCAAGATGCGCAACAAACTGTTGTTTGCATGATTGACGTTAGCAAAGCTAAGAAAGACATGACTTGCGCCTGCGTTGGGTTTCACGCTTGTTGCGGAGAGCAGACATGCATTCATAGCCATGCGCACCCTCACTGGCCCCACACTCTCCACCAGCTGTTCTATTTTGCAAGCGCCAGGCCGCTCATGCAAAGCGATACCGGGGCACAACCAGCCGGTCAATCAGCCGGGCCAAGGTCACGCGCCAGGCCCAACTCCAAATTGATTTTAATGAGCAAATAATTACAACGAGTGCTGAATGCATCAAACACTTGTTTTGCCACGTGACATAGGATGCTTGAGAGTTGCAGCTGCTACAGGCACCCTGTCAAACACACAAATGTAGAAAAATATTAATTTGGACGGGCTTTCAGATTTCAAGACTAAACTCACCGCCAGCCCAGATCAGATATCTGAGTCAGAGCCACCGTCATCGCTTGACACATCTTCTTGGCAGTGTAGTTGTCGTCGTTGGTGAAAAATGATCCAGGACCCCTCGCTCTCCACAATCTCTGTCATGGAACTGTCTTCGTCGTCGTTGCTGCTATTGTTGGTGAGCATATGTCTCCGGGGTCGATCGTGCTGACAGTCATAACTTCGCTGTCCCCGTCTGTGTCGTTGGCCATTATGTCAGAGTCATTGTCATTGTCCAAAATTATGTCAAGGTCGCTGTGACGGGACTGGCGGGGTTAGCGCAACAAACCCGCTCTGCCAACCTGAGCATGGCACTGGTGTGTATTCAGTCAACCGGGCAAGTCAAAAAACAGAACGGAGAAATTGCACAAATCCTAATCTGCGCCAAGGGGGCTTCTTCAGATCTTTGAGGCTCTTCCAAAGCTTGTTCTTCCCGAACATTTCCACGAGGATCGGGTAGAGCTTTGTACAGAACATCCCCATGATGTGGGTCTCCTTCCAGTGGAGCGTGATGTCGACGGGCCGCAATTGCTCCTTAACAGGCAGGCATTTCGGGAACATGGTTGCAGAACGCACTGCGCTTCCCTTCGGGCCAATCTTCCTTCCACTGCTCGGTAACGCGCGCAATTACTTTGCATATCCTATTCCTTGTTTACATATATTTCAATTTGAAAGCAGATATTCGGAATGGACATTTTCGAGCAGATGCTCTCTTTAGACCAAGCATGGGGACCCTTGACATGCTCAACTTTCATATAGGGCACGCTGTGGGGAGTTGTTCTCCTTCAAAAGCCAAGGTTAAGGTGTGGACCGGCCGGGTCCTTCGGGGCTGAGTGGGCGAAGAGCTGATGCGCCACTCTTCCACACTGACAACCGGGTTAGGCAGTTGATTGCATGGTTACGCCCAGTCATCATCCGGGCATTCCTATTGTCAAAACCCTTGCAGAGTTTTGGGCGCATTTGCGGGTGTTCCAAATATCCTTAGAAACGCAAGCCTCCTGAGCTCGGCCTCACAATAACGAGTGTGAGACGGGTCTTGAGCTAAAAGCAATGTGTGTGTGTGTGTTAACGCTGTATGCTCAGCGCAGAAGCATTGAACTTGTGGCAGGAGCCGTGTTTCATCCCCAATCCTCTATAGTGCAAACACACAGCGTGCCGGCTCATCCATATTTAATATTGAAAATGTTTTCTGGCTTGCAATTCTCGAGCCGTGAGACGCTCAAAGACTGCAAATACATCGGTGCACGAACGCTTTCCAGTTTCCTGGAGAACAAAACCACTGTTGTTGGATACCAGAGAAACCTCTCGGTTTCTCACCTACCTTCCTCTTCTCTCCGACCCTAAACCAAACCCACAACCACCCTGACCGACCCAAAGCCAACGTACAAACCAAGCTTGGCGCCCGCCCTGCGCAACTTTTTAAGCCAACCCGAAGCCAGCCCAAAGCCCGCCCTACGAACCAATTTAGAAATCCACCCTAAACCAACCCTAAACCTACCGTAAAGCAACCTAAAACCAAACCCTGAGCAAAAAGCAGCCCTACGCCTAAGCCACCCTAAGCCTACCCTAAACCTAACCCTTAACCAACCCCAAACCCACCTTAAACCTGCCAAAAAACCATTATCAACCTTAAACAACACATTAAGCCGGCCCTAACCTACCCTAAACCAATGCCTAAGCCCACCCTAAACAGACCCTAAACCAAACCTACACCCACTAAAACCAGTCCTGGGCCAACCCCAAACCTACCCCAAGCCCTCAACCAACACTTTTTGTTGCTGTAAGTATTTTTCTGTTGATCCGGGTGTCGATAATTTCTTTTTGATCCCGTGCATACTTTTTTTTTGATCCGGCACCTTCGCAACAGTGGCCAACAAAAACGGCAACATCGCAACACAAACAGGAGCGCGCAGCGAGCGCACAGAAATCTGTTTGGACACATCAGAACACAGAAGGGAAACCAGACAAAACTATGGCAAATCCAATCACTCCATGTTGTTCGACGCAGCGTGCGCGTCATGAACAGATATGCAACCCACAGCAATGGATCAACAGTCTACTTCCTCGAGCCTGCTTCACAAACACAACCAGCAGCTTTTGGACTGTGTGCGCAAAGGCCGAAGACGCCAGCATCAGCGCTGCCTACACCAACCCTCACAACACCAGTCGCGATACCACGACTGAGCAAGGCATCGTACCGCAGAAGGATGCAACAGCGGAGGGCAAGAGAAAGCGCAGCGAAACAGAGCGAGCAGTAATTGGCTACATCGCCAACACATCAGAAGAGACAAGCGTTGCCAGCGCCGACGGCTGCATCATTGATAAGAGGAAGCGACGACATCCCAAGGCGGCGCGTGGCCACATCATTCTTGCCACATTCCGAGACCTTAGGATGACTGGTGGTGCAGCATGAGTGCCCAAATGGGTTACATCTTGTACACAAGGCTACAGCAAGCTGTTTTTTGTTTTGAAAGGCATGTGCAATGCACGCATATGAATCTACACACATGTGCGCCACAGGGCTTCGCCGCAGCTTGCTAAGGACCAGATGTCCCACATGGCGCTTCACTTGTAGTGTTTGGAGCGCCTTGCCACGCAGCTCTACAGAACTTGCATGGCCCCACAAAACCCAGCCTCCGTTTCACAGCCGTCCGGGCTCTGATAGCGCATTGAGCGCGGGAACAAGATGCCCGGGCTGGATGGGAAGGGAGCGGCTGGCGGCAGGCAGCAGGAGGCACGCGGCAGGCGGCAGTTTCATGTTGTTTTTGTTTGTTTTTCTTGTTCTGTCTTTCCAAGTCTTGCATTTTTTCGTTTTCTGTCCTTTTTTGTTGGCTTCTCTTCTCATTCTCTCTCGCTTTCTTTTTCTTCTTTTTCTTGCTCCTTCTTCCTTTCCTTCTCCTTCTCCTTCTCTTTCTCTTAATCTTGTTCTTTCTCTTTTCTTTCGCTTTCTGGTTTGCCTTTCTCTTTTGCCTGCGTCTGTCACGAATCCTGCCGCTGCGAACGCGCTGCGTCTGCCACGAAATCTGCACCTGACCGTTCAAAAGTTCTGCGTCTGTCACACATCCTGCGCCTGCCGCTGCTAAAGAGCTGCGTTTGCCACGACATTTGCGCCTGACCGTGCCACAAAATCTGCGCCTGGGCGTGTGAATGTTTTGTGTCACGCAACTGGTGCTGACGCTGAGATAGTGTTGTGTCTGGCATGAATCTGTGCTTGACGGTGCGGGTGACACTGCGCGTGACACTGGCGTGTCTGTACCTGCACTCTGTGCCTGCGCCTACAAAACTGAAGCGCCTGCCGTGAAATCAACACCTCGCGCTGCCAAAGTGCCGCGCCTGTTGCTAAAAGAGCGCTAAACCCAAGAAAGCGCCGCGACACACCGTCTGCGCCTCAGTTTGCCTGCTGAGCGTCACATCAAAGTGATGTCGCGAAAAGCGTGCGTGTCCGTGCCAACGAGCCCGCGCCCGTTCCACGACCGCTTCAAGGGCTGTTAGCCAGCCGGGGAAGGTTTCACTCCGTCCACTTTCAAGTTGGCAGTGATTGTGATGTGTTGCTCTCTGGGACTACTGTCTTTTTAGATCTTCTGGCCCCATTTCGCATAGAGCCCTGTGATTATGAGCGCGTGTATATGGTCTAAATACAGCCTTCGAAGCCACTGCCAATTGATAATCGCATGTTTTGATCAAGTTGTCTGTCTTGAGTTCTGCGGGCTGACGTGCAATGCAGACATGGGCCGGCCCGCAGTTAGTCCTTGCGCCAAGCGTGAGCAATGGCCGTGGCTTCGCCTTTGACTCTGGCCTCCCGCGAGCCGTTGCCTAAAGCGCCATGGCCTCGGCAGATTTCTGCTTGGGAAGTCCTTCCTCGTGGCTCTGCATGTTGTGCATTGTGCATGCGAACCATTGTGCATTCTGCAGGTTTCGCACACGACATTTTGCGCACTGCACATGGTGCGCAGGGCTTTTCGCACTATGTTCAAGGCGCGCGCGTGTGCGCATGTGCAGTTGTGCCCGTTGTGCGCGTTGCGCGCGGTTTGTGCGTTGCACACGTGCTGCGCATCTTGTGTAGAAGATGCAGATGCATGAGGCCGCATGAAGGCGTCTGACCGAGCATGGATGTTCGTCCTACAAAGAAACATCAAACCCAACGAGCCAGCAAGCAAGCGATCAAGCGAGCGAGCGAGCAAGCAAGCAACCAGCCAGACCCTAACCAACCCTTACCCAAGCCACCGCAATACGCTCCCAGCATCCCAAGCCAAGCCGAACATGCACGCTGAGATGGCGGACGTTGCGCGCAGGCTGCTTGCTGATCTGCTCGCCGCTTGGCACCTTGAGCCTTGCAGCGTTGCGCGCGGCTAAGTGGTTAGGGCTGGCGAGCGCCCAGGTGTGGGAGCAGCGCCGCAGTGCGAGCCGGCTAGGAAAGGCCGCTGTAATTGAAATCTTTTACGGTGGGCTCCGGGCCGAAAAGATTGCAAAGTCGTCGCCGGAAGCGGCGGCGTGTGCTACAAAATGTGGGCAGTGCTTTATGATCAAAATGAGCCGGCGCATTGTGTCGTCGAAGGTGGACAGCCAAGCTAAAAAATGTGTCGACGGTTGCGCGGGTCATGTTATATATGGTCCTCTTGGCGCTTATTCTCGCGTGGTGATGTTGATGTTTTCTTGTGGGGCCGCTGCAAAGGAGCGCTGGTTTAGCATGGGAGCGCTTCAGAAGCAATTGAAAAGGAAGCTGGAAAGATAGTGTGAGCTTTTTTTGACAACAGCCGGTTTCGGGTTTCGGGTTGCTTCCGCAGGCCGAAAAGTTTCTTTTGATGGTGTTTTAGTAAGGGTAGACCTTGCCAATAACAAATTATAAACATAAACCGCACATTTTACAAATTCCGCCCGCCGTATTCCATAAGGTCCATTTGTACATCTTACTTCTTTCAATATGAGTATGTTTGAAAGAAGACAGCAGTTGCTTCCATTTCAAGGTTTGTAATTTTTAAGATGCGTTGCCCAACAACACTTTCAACATATAGAATGTGTGATTAGCCATGGTTTAGATCATTACCAGGGATGTCGCGATAGTGACTGAGCGGTGGTGTTTGGCTCCAGTTTGCGTGTCCGTCGCGCCTCGGATAAGCGTCGCCGGGTCCGCGCGTCGATCACCTTCGTGTCGGTGGAGAAAGAGACATCGGCCCGGGGCAGATAGGTGGGGATTGCTCGTGCGGTTCATCGTCGATCTAGGTTGCGGGTATTTGCATTCTTGCTTTGGTTTATTTCCCTTTTGGCTGTTGTTCTCTGGTGTGTGCGAAACTCTGGAGCAAGGTGACCAGCGATCCTGAATGGCGCGGTGCCCAACCGCTTGCCCAAAACTGCCTCGTTCAACGCATTGAAGTACTTCTGCAGCTTCTCCAGCATTGCGGTCGCCGCCATCAGCTGAGGACGGAACATCGGCATACGCCACGCGCGCCCGAGGGCACTATCCACATGCGACGCGATCGTGGTGATCGTCGCCACCAGTAGATGCGACGACGCGACCCTCCGGCAATCATGTTGGATCATCCAGCGGAATGCACTGACGTGTCTGTGCGTTCAGCAGTGTAGCCCTTACTCCTGGTGCACGAAGACAGTCATAGGCCCTCCGGTTCGGGTCACTAACGTTTCCTCGAACCATGTAGTCATCCCTATCAGATATATCATGCATATCTGCCCAATCTCCTGGGGTGCGTGTCCATGATGGTACTTCGCCTGGATGTCCTGCCTCAGTTACGGGATGTGGGCAGCCTCAGTCGCCATCTTCTTCATGCCCCACTGTTGGTCAGCCCACGCCGCCGTCTTCCGATCGCGATGTACTTGATCTCTGCGTCACTGCTGGCAGCTGATGAACATCAAAGATGGCTTTTTGGGGATGGCTTGCGCCACGAAGCGAACTCTTCGAACCGCGACTCTAGCAAGGCCAGGAACCTGTCCAAGCTGCTCTTTCAGGGACTGCCGTGCGTCCCCGTGCCTCGCCGGTTCGCAGCAGCTCCCGCAAATTTGGACATCGCAGCTGCTGCAAGTCTGCAGCGTGTCAGTCGAGGTAAGAAAGAAGCTCGTCAAACCGAGACGCACTCGCCATGGCACGATGCAGGGAGACCAGCCAGTTAGGCTAGCAACGAAAAATCATCAGCTTCTTCTTGCGAAAATGCTGGAAACGGAAACATTCATCACAAACAAATGCCTTCGCCTATGTCTGTGTGATGCGCACCGCTGGTGTGTGCGTTGAGCGTTGGCCCAATTGGGCAGACAATGGTGGGTTAGATACGCATTCTTTCAATCTGCGCGGCGCGTAAGTGTGTGTGGGCGTGCGTGGTGTGCGTGTGGGTGTGCATGGCGTGTGTGTGTGTGTTAGTCGTTGTAACCAACACTCAAAACACCGGAGTGAGTAGCCAGGAAAACGGCATCGGACATGCACCCACGGTCGCCTCCAGCGAACAACCCTAGCAACACATGCGTTGCTTCCCCTTTCGTGACCGCAAACGGCGCATGCCCCATGGCAAACACTAGTATTTCGTGGCAACTAGCCAGCGACCCTGACGACGTGCAACTAGGCCATCCAGCGCTTTTTCTTCTCTCAGCCCGAGAACACCAAGCCCAACCTATTTGTAACCGCTGCGACACGAACGCCGCGGATCTTTTTCGGCTCGTGTAACTTTCAGTTGGCCTTTGCTGGCGTGCGTGGCGTTTTTTTTGATTGCTGCCACCACGCGGCCTGAGCCAGCACGCGTAGTAGAATTTTCGGTTCGAGCCCAAAGATAATTTACACAACCGCGCGGCCCAAGCCTGCGCGTGGATATTCTTCGGCTCGAGCCAAGCCAATTCTTACTGCTGCGACACAGTACGACCACGCGGCCTGAGCCGGCGCGCGTAGAGAGCCCAAGCCCAAGACAACCTTTACTGCTGCGATACGACCACGTGGCCTGAGCCGGCACGCGTGGAGATTTTTTCCTCGAGCCCAAGCCAACTTTTGCTGCCTTGAGACGCGACTCGACCGCGCGGCTCTATTTCTTTTCTGTTTATCTATCTCTATCTATGTGTCTACCAATTTATCTCTCTCTTTCTCCACCATGCTAGATATCTCTTTCTGTGCACCAAAACCTATATCCATCCACTCCGCCAACTTTCTCTAGTTATCTTGTTATGTGTCCACTTTCCTATCTACCTTTCTATCTAGCTACATCTTTCTCTCTCTCTGTCTCTATCTAGCTATATCTACTTCTACCTATCTACATGCCTACCCATCTGTATGCTTATCGATCTATCAATCTTCTATCTACCTATCTATCTGTATCTTCCTATCTATCTATCTATCTGTTTGTCTATCAATCTATGTATATTTGTATCTATTTCTGTGTCTATCTATCTGGCTATCTATCTACCTGTCTATCTCCCTCTATCTCTCCATCTGCGCCTGACTTTGCGAAAGAGCTTCGCCTGCCACGAAATCTTTACTTGACCTTGCGAATGTGTTGCGCGTGCCACGAACTTGGCCTTGCTAAAGAAGTGCTACGCCTGCCAGGAAATATGCACTTGACCTTGCAAAAAGCGCTGTGCCTGCCACGAATTCTGTACCTGGCTTTGCGAAAGTGCTGCGCCTGCCTCGAAATCTGTACTTGACCTCGCGCCTGCCACGGAATTCAAACCTTAAGAGAACTTGATCTTGCGAAAGTGGCCCGCGCCCCGAGCCCGTTCCGAACGTGGTCCGAACGTGGTTCGACCAGGCGCCGAGCTTTCCGCTCTCTGGAGACGCGAATTCACGCACAGGGCCACGCTTTTTGCGCCCGTCTATCGCGTGCTTATTCCTTCTATGAAGTAGGAGAATTAATTTGTAGAGAATTTACTAAAACTAAGATGTCAGTTTTAATGTAATTTTTGAATATAAAGTTGTTCATACCGGAAGTGATGGACTTTTTACATCAGTTGGTTAAATAAGAAGTACTTATATATTTGCATATTGTTCTACATGTCATTCTGCCCAAGGTAGTAGCATTGATGACACCATAACAATTTTTGATTATCACACCACTTCTTGGTAGTAAATAATTTTTTCAAGAATGGATATGGACGGCAATGACAAGGTGCAGAGACTTAAGCAAAGTCATTTTTTGATAAATATACAAATAAGATATAGATGATGTATTTAATCAAAAATGTATTATGAGTTTTGTTGAAAGGAAAGTACTAAAAATGCAGAAAAGCAAAAAGAACCATACCTAAAGAAGGATATGTAAATGCTCAGTGGTTTTTAGACAATATTAAAACTCAATGTAATTATTTCGGGTGTGGTTTTTTATTGATATGAAAAGTGGTAATATCATAACAAACCTAACTGCACAACCAAAAGATAATGAATTAACTCACACAATAGAAAATATCATTCCGTTTTGTAAGTTATGTAATTGAATTTGGAAATAGCGGTTTTGAAAACAATTCTTGTAAAAACGTAAGTGAAAATGCTGTTATATAATATCTGCATATAATAATGGTGCCATTTGCTCAAGACCGGGCAGGGAGAAATTGCTAATAAATAATTGGATGTTGTTTTTACAAATTGCACTCAACAAGAACTTAGAAAATATGATTCTTGTAAATGCCAAAATTACCAAAATCATAACAGATATAAAGAAGCTAGAAAAATATGTTTACCATAAAGTGGAAAATACGTTTACCAGAAAGTGATTTTTCATTATTTTCAAATTTACTTATAAATGCATGTTTTGCAAAAAAGAGGAGAAGCAATCCGAGATATTGAACGGGTTCAAAAGAATAGTATACATTTCTTCAATAATGTAGATGCAAAAAGCT